TCGCACGCCAGTTGGTGAAGTCGCACACGCTTGGTTTCTGAGTCAACCTGATACCCACAAGCAACAACTCACCGCGTCGACTAAAGTAGGTTGCTGCCTAGATGCCTTCTCTCTTGTTTAGTTGATTGGCGTGTCCAGAGACCTTGAGGTTGCGTACGTTGCAAGTTGCGATTTCTGATTGTCCCTACACGAGTATCTTGGTTCTGGTGGTCCTGCTTGTGGAAAACATCTGGCTTTAAATCAGGATTTGTTTGATCCATTAATCTCAGAGATTTGAGATTAGCATCTTCTATGAGATAGTCGTTCCAGTAGTACTGTTTCGACAAAACTCCTGCGTAGTTCTCATTTCCTGCGAATAAACTCTCTTTTTGTGCGAGGTGGACACTGCCACGGACCCAGGAGATGGTACTGTTGACATGGATGTAGACGAGTGTAGCTCGACTACGCCGATTGTGGCGAATTCAACAAGTGTCGCAGTCCAACCACCAACACCTCCACCCAACTCTCCTCAACAAATTGACGCACCCACGTCGAAACCGCTTCATGGTGAGTTTGTATTCAAGAACAATAACACAGCTGTTGTCCCTTCTTTTTTACTATTGGGTATTATTTTAAACATTCTTAACAAAATCACCCAGCGACTAGTTAGTTTACTAGAAAGTCATTCGAAAAATTGTCGTGTTATGCTCATATTATGAAATAGCCGCAACCTCCTCTGAGTCGCCATCTGCGGTGGCCCTCCAAATTGAGCGTGATTTAATCAACCACACATCGCTGGACTCATGCAATTTAGCTTTCCCGACAAAAAGGTAATTTATTGAGAAAACTAGAGCTAGAACCCCTCTATTTCGTAATTAATACCTCCACATCTGAACTCACAATGAAACAGCAGGTACACAGCCTAAGGAATATGTAAGTTGTAAAATATCACCAGTAAATCATCCCCCAGGCAGTGAACGCGAGTGTCTTCATGTACCTCCACAAGCTTATAAAACCCTCCAACCTACGTTTCCCAGGTGATAAAACGGACCATGAAGGAGACCACGCTCTACCACTTACTGCCACAGATCGCATGGCACACGAAATCACGCAGCAGGTGCAAATGATCGCCTGCGTCCTGCGATCGGTCGAGCGTATCTCAACCGAGAAGCCTTCACCTGACGACGCCACCAAATTGCAAATTGCCCAACAAGACGCTCTGAGTTATCTTGCCTTTCTGCGGGATCGTTATGCCGGCATTCTGAGGTCCTTCGCGGAAGAATGAGACGCCGCATTCACTCCGAGTTTCTGTCCTTTATTCCATGACATTTGATACAATTTTTTATAATTATAACTTTGTTATAATTTAACTTAGCTACATTACTTCCTAACCCATAAATGGCACCGGGGCGGTTACGAGTGTCAGACGAAACATCTTTTCGGATGCGACAATACAGACACCGGGCTAGTTCCGTTACAGAAACAGGTCAATTCCCACCGACCGGAATATGGTAAGCAGGGCACCAAGGCCGGCACTGACAGAGTTTCCCAACAACAGTACATTTTATGAATTTTAACTACCGCTTTATGAATGAGACTTTACCAGTTAACTGACTTGTCCATCGCCTTGTCCCGCAGTTAATCAACTTCAAAAATAAGGCCAGTGTTTTGATATAAAACTCATCAACAAAACACAAAGAGAAGTGCCTACGAACTTATACCTATTACTACAACAACAAACTACAGTTAGAAAAATCATGTTCAATAAACCGCCGATTCAGACACTAAACTTACCACATCGACTCTTGGCATGTGAGAAACGATAGCTGGGACCTGACACCATACTTACAACCCACAGTTTAAAATGTTAACATCACTTCCACCTTAGACCAGCTGAAGCGAAACACCACAATGGAAAAACTCCAGGTGAAACCCAATAATTACCAAGTCCACCAGTCACCACAAGTCTTGCACTCAAAGGCAAAACGATAAAATCGGGACATTATATACAAACAGCAAAGAATGTACAGAATTGAAAACATTACAGATGACTTGAACCCGAACAACTGCGACATCCACAGTTCTGGCATTTCATCCCTTTCTCTTCTTCTAATCTTGACTTCGTAACTCTGCAAACATAACTTGTGCCAAAGTTTGTATCCCTTCCTTGATTATACAGAAGACAGCACAGATTTTCAAAGATTTGCTTCTTCCACTTTGCTATCAAATTGCCATCCGCGATTTTCCCGTAAGTCAATAATCATATAGATTCTAAAAATAGTAGCGTAAAAAACAAATCACCTTTGAAATGACTTTTCGCTTAAAATACAAGTCACATATGTATCTTGATCTTTTATGATGTACCCGAAAGATTGGCCATTCTGACCCAACTTTGAGCTTCTCTTCATGACGGACAGTTCCTGCTTCCCGCATTTTTCGGTTGAGTTCTTTCATGATCGGCTTAATCATTTACCATCCGTCATGTGGAGGCCGCCTATTTCTTCAAACGGGCTGTCACGCACGCCATCATCCATGCCTGGTAACCTTTTCTTTTATTCTTACTCTATTAGACCTGCCCAATAAGTAGGATTTGGATTCCAACGTTTCCTCCGAAATACTTCAACAAGTTGACTCTCTCTCCCCGTTCTAATCGCATTATAACATTCGCCGAATATGCCATAATCATGTCGCTTCTACGACTCGTGAATAAACTGTCTCTCCTCTTAGATCACACGCCGGCTTGTATATAACTTGTTAAAGCATTTTGGAGGAAACTTTGAAATCCAAATCCTATTTAGTGAGCAGGTCTAAAAAAGCAAGAATACAAGAAGAAATTATATGACATGGAAGGTGGTTCAATGTCATCGCTCTTTCTAAATATGCAACAAAACAAAAATCCAATTGGTTCATTGTGGAAACAGTACCTTAAAAATGTTTTTTATGCATAATTACGTTGCTGCTATTATTTAACTGAATTATAAGACATCACATAATTTATAGGTAATACCAAAATTTACAGCATAATCTGTTATTTTTGTCGAAACAGTAAATGATTAAAAAGGCACCCCTTTTTTTCTCAAAACGCATGTATATGGCTAAAGAAACACTTAGGCATAGTGCTTCATTGTAAATTTCCATAAGCTAGATATTTTGTAACGTTAATTTTTTTCAAACCTGTTATGTTACTTAAATAATATTGAAAATGGATGTATTTTAAAAGAATAATGTAGAAGGTGAAGATAAATTTTAACAAAATCTGTAGTAACACGTGCATTTTTAGACTTTTTTACCAAAGTTATGAATTAAAATTAATTTTAAATAATTTGTTTTAAAACATAATTTAAGGGGATTTTTTAATAAGAAGATGTTATGTGCTTTACGTTACCGGCTGGTGCCGTGCGGGTGTTGCTGCTGCGAGTCTATGAGGGCCCGTGTGGCTTGCTTCTCGCGGGAAGGTCTGAGGCGTTGCGTGCGTGCTCGCGCTCGTGTTTACCGCCTCACTGGCGGTGTCTCCAATTGAGGCGGAGGGTAACAGAAATCCTGTCTCGTGACCCATGTACCCAAGGAAACCCCTCGCGGGTCGAGGGTGGGTCGCGAGTCAATGAGATCGAGCCCTCAGCAAGCGCGTGTAGCGAGATCAGCAGTCCAACTCAATTCAGACTACTCCCGCAGGCCGATTTTCGTGCGATGCAACTATTGTTTCTTCCATCTTGCAATCAAGTTGGCATCAGCAATTTCCTCCTTTAGGCAGTTATTATATAGATGGCAAAACTAGTAGTGTTAATCAACAAATTGCCTTTGATATGACTTTCCGCTTAAAATACAATCCACGCTTACATCTTGATCTCTTTAGACGTGTCCGAAAATAGGCCATTCTGCCTCAACCTTACGCTTCCCTTCATGACGATCAGTTCCTGCTTTCGGCATTTTTCAGCTGAGTTTATCTATGGTCGGCTGAATCATTTCTCATGCGTCTGGTGGAGGCCTCTTACTTCAACGAATAGGTCCCATCTCCAACTTTCCAGATTTCAGTGTGCCAGCTATTTCTCAGTACCAACAAAACACATACCCAACTAGTTCGTTTTGAGAAATGAAACGCTAAAATTCCTTTACATGCCCACAATCGTGCTATTATTTGGAATGAATTATTAGACATTGCAAAATTAAATATATGCCAACAAAACACATACTCAACTAGTTCGTTTTGAGAAATGGAACGCTAAAATTTCTTTACATGCCCACAATCGTGCTATTATTTGGAATGAATTATTAGACATTGCAACATTAAATATATGCCACAAATGCACAATTTCATTGTAGAAGACAATGCACAAATCCTCACCACCGTGTCGATCCCAAGGAGACAATATGAGCAGCTGGGAACGGAGTAATATTAGTTATTCGTCGACACCACACAGCTAAAAATAGTCAAGGTACCGGTAAAAACATTGAATCAAAAATATATATTATATTATGAGGGTGGCTAATTTTGTTGCTACATGTGATGCATAACATATGACTAGATTGCACATCCGATCCTTATGTAATTTACTAAGAACGAAAACCGGTAATCCAAAGGTCAACAATTCAATGAACTGCGGAGAGTGCCCTGGACCCTAGGTTGGTTTCACCGGATGTAGTGTTGTGTGGTGGACTCAGATGGAATGCGCCTGAGTTGTGGCTCTGGCTTGTGATTGGTCAATGAAGCCTGTTCTGTTGTACCGGTCTTTTTCCTTCTGAAGAGGCATTGGCAACGCAGCGACGACGACATGGACATTAGAAGCCAGCTGGACTGCAACTGCGAAGGGACCTACGATGGATGAAGAGTCCTTCCTGCAAGTCCACAAGAGCAAAGTCCCTCGTCAACTATTCGCTTGGACCACTATCCTGCCAGATGTGGGGTGAGGGGAGTGTCGAACTGGATATTTTACCAACCCTGGATATCAACAACAGTGCAAGGAACCAAGCCAGAAGCTGACGACAGCTTCACTTCTGAGGGGGAGGCAGTGTGGTGGACTCTGATGGAAGGCGCCTGACTTGTGGCTCTGGCTTGTGATTGGTCAATGGAGCCTGCTCTGTCGTACCAGTCTTATTCATACTTTGGCTCGAGGATTCTACAGCAGCGACGCATCGCGACACAGACACATTGGACCACGCTGGCCTCAGCCAATCCTCTGTCTCTGCGTTCCAACTGCATGCGAGGAAGACCTACAGCCAACCAGAGACAGACACGTACGAGGAGTTGTATAGCCAGCGTGGTCTACTCGGATGTACGGTGCCTAACGTGGGATTTGGCTTGTGATTGGTCAATGGAGCCTCTTCTGTTATGCGAGTCTTCTTCACACTAGGGCTCGGGTATTCTTAATAGGGTAATACGCGTGGCAAAATGCGACCTTGAGGTCGGTTTGAGACACGCGATCCATCAACAACCGACGCATATAGGTAGCAGTCTGAATAATTACGCGAAATGCAAAATGCATTTCGCCGCAGAAAGCGCCATTGCAATCTTTAGTCAAGAGTTTATAATGAAGGAGGAATATAGGAGATAATCGGGGAAATAAAACAATACGGCATAGAATTGTCCCATGAATCTAGACCTTTAATAAGACATGTTTTTATTTTGGATAATATTTCTTTGACGCATTTCTAAATCACCTTCCTATCTAACAAACAGTGCTCAACTTTTATGCAAATAAAATAGATTTCTGATTATTAGTTGGTGCAACGATGCACATTGAACCTATACATTCATAGACAGATATTGATCCGTAAGCAAATTGCGATATTTCATGCCAAAGTTTAAACAATAATTAGGTTGTGTTCCAAAACGAAACAAGTGGCTCACAAGGATTCCACCTCAAAACATCATGCTGGCTGATCACACATGATAACAGGATGTTCCTCATTTAAAAAGGCTAACTAAAGTGCAATTGCCGTTTTAAAGGACGCCACTGACTTCGCAAATTTCGTAGCGCGGTTTAATAGTTTCAAACACATCGAAATGAGTGGAATATTTTAAATCCAGTCACAGGTGATATTACACGGAAATCCACCATCTCATTACACTGCATGATTTTAAGGTCAACAAATGTCAATATTCTGGATTTATTGGGGCTGTGGGCGTCATATATTTTCGCCTAAGAGCTCCAATGATAGGTCGAATTTAATTACGCAGTTTACACTAAATAAAAAGATCTCTTCAGAAACCTATATTAATCGTAGATTCTAATTATTTTAGGACCTAGGCGTTTGAGATTAATTCCTCAGAATTTACTTTGCTAAATCTCCATTGCTGCAATTTAATATCGGAATCTATGATTTATCCAATGCACACTTTAATAAGTGGCCCATCGCATAAAATATGTGTGTGCGCTTATTTAGTGTCACCAAAATTATAGATATTGCTTTGACCACTATTTGTTCTTTTCTTCTATAATTAACTTTTCGAAGAGGATAGTTAAAAAGATATTTATTGCCGTGTCCATTCTACGGATGTCGTCTCCTATGTGTAGCATGAATAAATGTTTTGTCTGTAGTTGGAATAGAACGTTCGATGCATATAAATGGCGGCCAGGACCTTCTCGCAGAAGGTCTTCGGATAAACAAAGGTCCTCTGGCCTTGCTTTCTCCGGAATAACCTCAAGCGTTCTTTCAAGGAAATATCGTCAAGAACATGCCGCAGCTATGGAAACAAAGCGAACACACTACATTGTGCGGTTCCATAAAAATTTTTTAGTAAATTAGCGATCTAATCTATTGTCATTTCAATTTTTTACACATTTGTGAGTTCCACACCTAATTTAATAAATATCTTTTAAACCATCGATGGCGATAGGAAACAAAGTATTCCTTCTAATTTGAACATGATTGGATTGGTACCAACTACGTCATCGAGCACGGGTCCAACTAGGGCAGAAGAGAGCTCCCGCAGTTGCTTCCGATATACGTACAGACTGCGTGTTCTGAAACCAACTCAGGTAAGAAAGTCCAAAAAGATTGCCCACACGGGAACTTTAAATTATCCGCTAGAAGTTTGTAGCGTCTTGAGTTAAGCACTACCTTACAACCCTCTAGTTAACAGCCTGTAAATAGCCGATGACGTCTGGAGAAGAAAGGCAAGAATGATGATGATGATGGCAAAAATAGCGATTTATTTACAATTGGCCACCCTAGTCTTTTACAACACAGCGCGTGAGTTCATGTCGAACCTCACGACATCTCGACACCACTACAATCGTTGACGTTCGACCAACTCGTGAATAAGCTTCATTCACGCCCGTTTGGTGAAAGTTCACTAAAAATATTCCTTCTCGGGAGTGCAAGCTGTGAAACAGTAAACGCTCGAAAATTGTCGTACAGAATTAGCAAAGCGGACGAGGTGGCTTCAGGTGTCAGCTAAAACAGAAAGTTGGGGGGGGGGGGGGGGGGGGG